CAAAAGGAAGTTATCTTTAAAGGGAAGGATAACATAAGCACATAAAGGCAAATTAAGGATCAGATAGAAGTGGTTTTCTTATGTATTCAGAAGCTATGAAAAAAAATTTCATGGGGCATTTGATCTCATATTATAGAAATAATTAAATGTTTGCCAAAAACAATCAGGAAAATAATTTCAGCTTATGTGTCAACATTGGTTGCAGAGGATGAGGCAGAAAAATTTTATGAAGAATCTGACAAGACCTACCAAATTAAATCAACATATACTTTGATACTCAATGATTTCAATGGAAAGATATACACAGAAAAGATGGTAAAAAATTTGTTGAAAAATTTGGCTCAGGATTAAAGAATGAAGGAGGCCAAAGGCTTGTATGCCTGTAGAAAATGCACTGCTTTAGACAACACATGTTTTCTTCAAGCAAAGAATAAGGAGGTGCTAACCAAAGCAAGCACCAAATATAATGAAAAAATCCTACTAATGTAATAAACAGGAAATGACTCCTTGCTCATGTAGAAAATATTCTGGAATCAGTAATTTGTAAAGAACAAGATCACTGACTTATGAAGGTAAAGATTAAAATAAATTATAATTATAGAAGAGAAAATAAGAATGAGAAAAATATATCACAGTTAGAACATCTCTATCTTGAAGTAATAAGCTATAGATGATTTAAAAAATGGAAAAGGAATGGATATAAAGACTTTGACACAGATTTTATCATATAAAATTTATTTTAAGTTTAACCAATTATATCCATTACCACAGTTAGACCAAAAAAATCTTAAAAACAGATTTGGTCAGCAAACCCCTACTCCCTTTCAAACCCCTGATCCCTCTGCCTAGTATATAGGTGAAAGAGCCAAAGGCAGTATCATTTTAAAATACAAAATCTTTGGTAAAATCTTACTTAAGAGGATGACACAAATTGTGAGCCACACCACATCAGAAAACAGTGAGAATCAGTTGAAAGAAAAGAATGTTTACAGAAAGGATAATAAGAGACCCAACTAAGCAAAGTCATTCCAAAAGCATTTAAGGATGAAACTAGAAGAACAACAAACAGGCCAAAAATTAAAATGATCTGTCAGGATTTTAACAAACTCTATCATCAAAGACAGTGGAACCACCACCTTTGGAATCAGACTTTACAGTACCATTAGTGTTGCTGCAGCAAGTGAAAATGGCTCCAAAGGGGGGAAAAAAAGATGGGTAAAGCAGCTAGAATAGATCAAGTATTCAAAGAGGACATCCATGCTGGAGGTGACACAATTTTGAGTAGTGAGGGATCAATTCTTAAGACACATGTAAGAGAAGAGGAAATTAAAAGCATGGAAAACCTATAGGCTATTACTTTTCAGAAAAAGGTGACCAAGAAAATATCAATAACTACTGCTCCATTCATTCTCCCATCTATATAAAATGTTCATGATAATTATCTACCACTGAAGACTTTCTTGATGAAAGCATAAGAAGAGAACAAGCAGGATTCTACAAATGTGATTCCACAGCAGACCATGTCTTTACAATCACACAACTGATGTTTCAGTTTAGGAAAATACAAGACCCCACACTGCTATTATTGTTTGTTGACTATAAAAAAAGTATTTTATTGGGGCAGCTAGGTGGTGCTGTGGATAGAGCACCAGACCTGGATTCAGGAGGACCTGAGTTCAAATCCAGCCTCAGACACATAACACTTTCTAGCTGTGTGACCCTGGGCAAGTCACTTAACCCCATTGCCTAACCAAAAAAAAAAAAAAAGTATTTTATTTGCCAGAATAAAATACTCCTTAAAGGTATTCCTCTAACAAATTGTTTCCTAAACATTTATCAAAATGAAATAAAATTCCCTGAAATATATAAAGGGATGTTTTTCCCTTTGATTATTAATGCTAAGTGGGGCATAAAATAGGGAGACATTATTGGCTCTTTGCCACAGTCATGAAGGAGGTCCAGGACAGAATCTAAGTTGAAGAGGGATCCCAACTGGAAGGTAATGTGCTCTAAATGCTCCTGTTTGTAGATGACATTTAACTGACTATATCAAGCCTAGGAACACTCCTAAATGAGATCCATAATCACTCAAGAGTTTGGCTTCATTATCCATACAGGAAAAAAACAAAACCAAAACCAAAACCAAGTGGATAAAGAATGCCTGTTGTCCAGACCATGATATGTAGCTAGATGGACAATTTAAAGAATACACCCATTAATAGATATGTTTGGGAAAGACAGTGTAAATGAATGATGAGATTGGTCCAAAGCTGAAAAGGAAAAAGGATGTGAATGAGATTGGCTTTGGGAAATCACAGAATTCTTTTAATCCCAACCTTCTCTTGGAAACGAAGGCCCATCTCTGCAACAGTAGTATTCTTCTACTTATGTTGTATGGCTATAAGTTATATTATTCTATGATCATTCAAGATTTTCCAAAGGGCAATGCGAGGCAGAGTATAACACATTACAAATGAGGAATTATGAAAAGAGTGTAATACATAACTTTACTAAAAGGTATGACTGGATAAAAAGGATGGGCTGGTCACATGAGAGTGAGGAACAACAGACAGAAAGGTTTACATGTTCAGTTACTTTCTGTGCAATGCAAAAAAAAGGTAAAAAAAGGCCCATGATAAATTCAGTTACCCCTATGGTGAATTTATGAAAGGACAATCTATGTCATAGTCATAGAGTCATACCAGATGGGAAGGCATGGATGGGTGGTTATTTGCATTATTAGAAGGAATTCCCACATTGATAAGCAGATAGAATCATTGCAGTATTTATATATTCCAGTATTTTTTACGAAGCTCAGAACACTAAAGAAAAACCTCAATCATATCCCAAACACCCTTGGGAGAAGAGAATCACAGAACATTAGAATCAGGAGCAATATTAGAAATTATCTAGTCCTATCCCTTAATTTTAAAGATAAGAAAACTGAGACCTAGAGAATTGAAATTATGGTACCAAGGTGTTAAGAATGAGTACGTGGCAGAGTAAGTAGCAGAGATTACAACATCTGATTCTTAGTTCAATTTTCTCTTCATTGTACCATAAAGCCTCCTCTTTTTACTTATTTAGTACTTATGTCCTGCCTACTTCCAAAAAAGATATCAAGTAGTTTGCAATATTATACACAATATAAAATAAAACAATTTTTTAAAATGGGAAGGATGTAAAAAATGATATTACCAGGCACCTGAGATGAGTTAATTATTTAGATGGACATTGAATTTAGCTCTGAATTTCCTGGCAGCTAAGGCAAAAAGGAAAACAAGATGGGTTATATGGTTCTAATTATCTTATTATAGGAAATATACACAAATTTACCCACAAAGGCAAACTTTTTCATTGCATTAACCCATCCTCCCCAACGGGACTCCCTCTCTCCACTGTGAAAGCTCCCAATCTCCTCACTTCTGAGCTAAGTATTGGTCCTGAAGGGGCATTATAATCTAACTTCTATCCAGAAACTCAGAGCAGCTGCACAGGTTCCAATTGGAAAATTTCCCTCCTGCCCCAGTGTGTAAACTTCATGTCCCTCAGATCAACTTGTGGCTAAGGTATACACCTCTCAGAGGGTGTGTTGTGCCCTCCAAAACAGTAATTTATGAGTGAAAGCCCTACCTTTTCCCTTTTTTCTTGTGGATAAGATGGACTGAATTACCAAGGATGAACAAATATGGATTGGTTATAATCTTCATCATAAATTTACATTATCTTTCCCTCAAAACTCAACTCTCCTCCAAACATTCCTGTTACTATCAAGGGCACCACCAAACTTCCAGTCTCCTAGGTTGAGGAACTAGATGTCATTTTTAAATCCTCATTCTCTCTCACTCATTATATCTAGCCAGTTGTCAAACCTTGTCATCTCTCTACAACATTTATAGATAATATAGATAATACAGATAATAATCTGTCCCTTCTCTTTACACACATCACAGCCACTACCTAGCATGGGCCTTATCACCTTTTACTCGGACAACAGCTTCCAAACTGGTCTCCTAGACTCAAGTCTCTCCTCTGCCCAGCCTATACTCCACAGAGTTGACAAAGTAATTTTCCTAAAGAACAGGTCTGACCATATGACTCCCCAACTGAAACTTCAGTGGCTCCCTATTACTCGAAGATTAAATGTTACTTCATCTTTCTCTCATCCTTTCAAAATATCAATTTTACATAAATTTTTAACTCACATAATTATTAATTCAATAGTATATATACACAATTTATAAATAAAATAAATATGTGCCTATTAGGAGTACATGCTCAAATTTTATTTTATTTTTTTACTGATAGGGGTATGTGATTAAAAAAATCTGGAGATAATTGCATTAAATGATTTGTCTCAAATATCAGTTCTCTTTAAAAAGCTTTTTGCAAATTCTAGGTCATGGTCAATTCTTGGCTTAATTCTCAGGTAAGTGGCTAAAGTTCTATGTTGTTGGTTGAAGTAGGATCCATATGTTTTTAATTCCAGATATAAGGGAGGTAGAACTGTTATCATTTTACAGAATTTAAAGTGATTGATTTACATATCCCTAGCCTGAATCAAGACTTGAACCTATTTAAATTCTGATAAAGGTTTACAGAAGCCTCTAGGTAGGACCAGTATAACCCTCAAAACAGAAGGATGAATTTGATCAATCATTTGAACATGTACCTGATTGAGACCCCAGAATAGACTGCCATATAACATGGAAAAGTAAATTTGAAAATTTTAAGCACAAATTCTATTAACTGTCTTGGTCATATCCTTAGGACTTATGAGAAAGAAAGTAGAGGTAAATTTCTTCATTTGGACAGAAAAACTAATGAAAAAATAACTTGTCCAGGTTCAGTGAGTTGGTGGTAAAGTTGAAAAGGAAATCCATGTTTCCTGACTCCCTGTTGGCTAGAACAGTGATCTTTAGAAAGGGCAGGAAAGCTACGGGACAGACTCCTTAATGTGAGGAAAAATAACTTATTGCAGCTTTGGAAAGTTTACTTACCAGACCACAGATGGAGCCCATCAAAGCCATAGGAGTATAGGTCATCACCGACACCGTTGCCTCCCCAACCTTCTCCACCACCAGGGTAAGGAGCATAGCCTGGTGAAGAAGCCCAGCCTACCCGCAGGTGTGTGGGTTCTGCTGTTATGAAAGGATCCACTTGATCTATTATAAGCTCAAAGTACCATTTCCTGTACTGAGCTGAGCCTTCAGCAACTCCCAGGAAAATATTTGGCCGGATGCTGAAATGGAATGTAAAAATTAGTTAACACCCACAGACACTGCAGGACAACGAAGTGCAGAAGGTCAGGGAAAAGAAGGGAAGGGCTGATCATTGTGTATCTATAAAAGGGACATGCATTTATTATTATTATTATTGTTATTATTATTATTACTGAAAAGTAGGAATTGTAGGTACTTTTGGGACTTAGCAGTTAACAATGCCTCCTCCAACTGGGAATATAAAATAAAGATTTACATTGATTCTCTGCACCACCACAAACTTTCTCATTTCTGCTATAAAAGGACAATGACAGTTTATATCTACACCCAAACTGGTTTGGAATCCTACATTCTTAATGGAGATTATTTTACAATTATTAGGAGTAGCCCCTAGAAATCAGTTATAACTGAAGAAGATTCTTGGCAATGGCTTTCCAATTTTGAGGTTATTATTATAATATTTTATGCATTATAATTTGCCTATTTGTCTGGGCTAGAGCTTGACTTGAGGCAGAGTTTACTTTCAAAGGTCCAGTTCCTTTTACCAAGGACAGTCAAATTCTCTTATGCTCTAGGTCTTTTCTGGAAAATTGGATAAAGAGCTGGTGATAATGGAAAAACCTGTTTTTGAAAACCTGGGCCCAGTAAAATTACAGTTTTATCTTCCTCTATTTAAAAATGTTTTATGTGTTGCTCCTAAAAGGTAGAAGTGGAACAAAGACAGAAGAAAGGGCATTTAAATTTTTTTTTCATTTTAAGGGAAAATAATAATGTGTCTAAGCAATAATTTTCTTTAGCTGGAGATGTCTGAATTAAATCTGCATAATAATCCTTCACTCTTAAGTCAGCTTGTCTGGTTTGTCCTCTACATGTAACTGTGTAACTTTATCCTTTCAGTGGAATTAAGTTGGTCCCTGTCTAACAAAAGAAGGGGGAAAAAAGCATGACTATCAAATCAGGAGTAGTTAGGGTTAGATAGGACCTGGGGCTAAACTATGAAATGACCCCAGCACGTAGAATATAAAATTACTGATAATCAAATAGCCTGTTGCTGGATTTCATAATTTCATCAAGCATTTAAAACTATTGTTATTATTTACAGACAATTAATGTTTGCAAATTGTTGCAATAACTAGTTTTTATAGATTTCTATATAGTTTACTCATATAAATGATTTGCAAAATGAATCTGCTTTGTGGTTGTGCACAGTTTTTAATTCCTGAGAACTCTAAAGAATACATTTTACATTCATGTCAAGTCTCTTAAACCCACAGGGTTTTAACTAGGCTAATTCTCTTCAATTTTTCATCCCAAATAGACCTTATAAACAGTTAATGTAAAATGGTCAAGCTAGGAGAAGCCAGAAACATGCTCAGGAGCACTAGAGGATGCTGTACTTATCACCTTTTGTCATCGGCAATTGGAGCACAGAAGAAGATTGAGAATGCTCTGCCATCTTATATAAATTCCAAGAAAGGAGAGGCCAAATATTTTTCCCCTCCCTTTGTAGCCCAGACAAGGTCAAGTATGGTTCTTAGCAACATAATAATAACCCTACCTTGTCACATCATTAATCAGCCGAGTCTGGAGAAGCAAGTCTCTTCGGGGCAGCAGGTTGTCACAGATAAGATTCTGGTTGGCTCTTACTGCAACCCCATTACAGAGACAGAGAGAGCAAAGTACATCAAGAACCTGCAATGATACAGACAATAAAAATCACCAGGCAGTATACACGGAAAAGAAGCCTAAAATCCATGATAAATTCCAGAAATGAACCACTATCATACTTTACTACCGGGTGGGAGGATGTGCTAAGAAGTTCCAGAATTAGGCCCCAGGAAAGTGATGAAAATGTATGTAAAAGTGTAAAGGCTACTCACTTATCAGTGGACTGTAGCTAGAGGATCATTTTCCACCCTCGGTCACATTATTGTGTCTCCCTTCTCCCTCCTTCAGAAATGTATTGGTTTTGTAGGAGCAATTATATTTTCTTTCTAAGCCTAAGGGCTTAGATTGATTAGTAGTGTGTCGGGGGCAAGTCCTATAGAGTTATAAATTAATGGTAAATAAAAAGAATGCAAGGACCATATATTGAATTGGAGCCTTTTAGCATAGCTAAGAATTATGATGATCTGAAGGTGACTTCTAGGATCACAGTATGTTAGAGTTGAAAAGGATCTTAGAAGGGGCAGCTAGGTGGCACGGTGGATAGAGCACCGGCCTTGGATTCAAGAGGACCTGAGTTCAAGTACGACCTTAGATACATAATACTTACTAGCTGTGTGACCTTGGGTAAGTCACTTAACCCCATTGCCTAGGTCCCCCCCCAAAAAAGGATCTTAGAAATCATTTAGTCAGTCAACCAGTAAACATTTATTAAGCACCTACTATGTACCTGACACTGTGCTAAGTGCTGGGAGTACAAAACAAAATGTAAAAGACAGTTCCTGCTTTTGAGGAACTCAAAATCTAATGAAGCAGACAGCACGCAAATAACTATGTACAAACAAATATACAGAATAAAATAAAAACAATCTATAGAGGGAAAGTACCAGAATTTTTTGAAAGTTTATTTATTTGTTTTTAGTTTTCAACATTCACTTTTATAAGATTTTGAGTTCTAAGTTTTCCTCCCTCCCTCCCTCCTTTCTCCCATCTCCAAGACAGCCTGCAATCTGATATAGGCTATACATGTGCAATTCTATTAAACATATTTCCACATTAGTCATGTTGTGAAAGAAGAATCAGAACAAAAGGGAAAAACCATGACAAAGAAAAAAGAGAGAAAATGGTATGTTTTGATCTGCATTCAGACTCCACAGTTCTTTCTCTGGATGTGGATAGCATTTCCACCATAAGTCTTTTGGAACTGTCTTAGATCATTGCATTGTTGAGAAGAGCTAAGTGTATAAATCTGGTCATCACACAATGTTGCTGTTATTGTGTACAATGTTCTCCTGGTTCTGCTCACTTCACTCAGCATCAGTTCATATAAGTCTTTCCAAGTTTTTCTGAAATCCACCTGCTTATCATTTCTAATGGAACAATACTATTCTATTACATTTTTATATCACAACTTGTTCAGCCATTCCCCAATTGATGGGCATCCCCTTAATTTCCAATTCTTGGCCACCACAAAAAGAGCTTCTATAAACATTTTCGTACATGTGGATCCTTTTTCCTTTTTTATGATCTCTTTGGAATATAGACCTAATATTGGTATTGCTGAATCAAAGGGTATGCACAGCTTTATAGCCCTTTGGGCATAGTTCCAAACTGCTCTTCAGGGTGGTTGGATCAATTCACAACTCTACCAACAATGTATTAGTGTTCCAATTTTCCCACATCTTCTTCAACATTTATCATTTTCCTGTTTGATAGGTGTGATGTGATGCCTCAGAGTTGTTTTAATTTGTATTTCTCTAATCAATAGTGATTCAGAGCATTTTTTTCATATGATTACACATAGCTTTAATTTGCAAAGGTACTAGAATTAAGGGGAATTGGGAGAGGATTCCTGGGGAAGATGGGATTTTAGCTGGGACTTGAAGGAAGCCAGTGAAATCAGGAGGCAGAAATGAAGAGGGAGGACAGGGTCTGCCTATGGGGAAGGTAGGCTTCAGTTTCCACATCTGTAAAATGGGAGTAATAATAGCACCTACCTCCTGGAGTTGCTATGGGGATAAAAAGGAGATATTTGTAAAATGCTTTACAAACTTTAAAACAGAGGCATCAAGCTTGATCTTGAAAACCTCTCTAGTACAGTCAAACATGAAGAAAATATAACTAGGAAATGGCTAACAAAATAAATAAAAATGCAATACCACATAATGTTAATTTGTGGTTTTCTACATCAGTATGTAGCTTGTAGGGATCTGTTTCTATTTGAATTTGACACCACTGCCTTAAAGCACCATAGAAATACTAGTTATTATTATTATTATTGTTGTTAGCTCTGTGACAATAGACAAGTCACTTTACTTCTGGGGTTATTCCTCATTTATAAAATGAGGAGATCAGACTAGGTGGCCTCTTCAAGTCCCCTTCAGCTACACAACTTAAACTGCACCAAAAAAATGGTAACCATGTTGGTACTACCTCTATATTTTATAGATGGAGACACCAAGGAAGTTAAACTGTTCCTGGAGTTTAGACTAACCATCTATATACTAGACTGCATTATTTCATTCATTCTTACATTTTTTCACTCAGACTTGGTTCTTTAGTCACAAAAGAACAAGCTATGCTGGATTTGGGATAATTCTTCCTTTGCTTTGCTTTAGTTGCAAATACACCAATCACCTGATAAACAATGACAACAGTAAGATACTTTCCACCACACACAGAAGTAAGATCTATATTTTAATTGTTCATAATGGCCATTCAAAGCTCAATATTTAATGAAGTAGCTATATGTTGATAGCATTTTTGTCTGTAAATCTTAAAACCAATTTTCTGCATGACTTCCTGAACGTCAACTGCATGACAGAAAAGTAAAAAGAAAATTTGTGAGGTAGTAGAAAAGAATAGCAAAGGCATTTTTATGCCAAGATCTTACTATAAAAGTTCTATAAAATGTATTAATTATGGAAATCTGAACTCCAAAGAATAATTTCTCATTATAAGAAAGGGCCCTAAATGGTCAAGATATTAAATGTAGTGTACAATATATTTATGGCAGTTCTTTCTGTAGTGGTAAGGAATTGGAAATTGAAGGGATGCCCACCAATTGGGCAATAGCTGAACAAGTTGTGATATGAATGTAATGGGATACTATGGTTCCATTAGAAATGATGAGCCAGGTGGGTTTCAGAAAAACCTGGAAAGGCTTACATGAACTGATGCTGAGTGAAGTTAAGAGAACATTATGCACAGGAACAGCAACATTGTATAATGACCAACTTTGATAGACTTAGCTCTTCTTAACAATGCAATGATCTAAGACAATTCCAAAAGACTCATGATGGAAAATGCTAACCACATCCAGAGAAAGAACTATGGAGTCTGAATGCAGATCGAAGCATACCATTTCTTTTTTTTTTTTTTTTTCTTCTTTCTTGTGTTTTTTTCCCTTTGGTTCTGATTCTTCTTTACAACATTACTAATATGGAAATATGTTTAATGTGATTGTACATGTATAGCCCATATCAGATTGCATGCTGTCTTGAGGATGGGGGGAGGGGGGATGGAAGAGAACAGGGAAAAATTTAGAACTCAAAATCTTATAAAAGTGAATGTTGAAAACTAAAAATAAATAAATTTTTAAAAGATATTAAATGTAGCCTTCAACTAGCTTATTGAGCACTCTTCTATGTTTAGCCTGAGAGGGAGGAGAGAATGACAAAAACTTTGCTCCAGCAGTCTCAATAAAAGTCAAGTTTAACCTACACCCATACCAAGAGAGACAGAGAGAGAGAGAGAGAGAGAGAGAGAGAGAGAGAAGAGAGCAAGTGAGCAATGTTCCCTGTAAGAAATTCACAGCCCAATAGGGCCTTACAGCTAAAGCTTTGCTGGAAGGCATTTTCTTTGAATATAACTAGAGAATGAGTACAAATTCTGCCCTGCCTCACTTAACCCCACCCCCAACCACCACCACCACAAAAAAAAAAAATTTGTGATCTTTGGAAGACAAGGTCATTCTACCCTAAAAAGAAAATGAGAGATTAAATGGAGAGAAGGAATAGTATCCGCTGGAATTCTGCCTAATAGCCTAACATCATATTAATCTTCCTTGTTTGTTTTGTGGAATTGATTTAATCCTGGGTATGAGTCTGCCTGGAAAGAGGTGGAACATCCTAGCCCTCTAGCCAGCCATTCCATCATACCCCTTTGAGTCACCCTAAGTAGGCTCCTAGAACTCTACCTCCAACAGCTGCCTCACCTAAGCGTCTCTTCCACCTCCAGCTTTCCAGCTAATACACTATTGACTCCCTAAGAGGACTCTATGAGGAGACTGAACTCCTGGGGATGGTGAGAGCCAGAGTGATCTGGGTTTAATAATTGGCCCCAGCCCAACCCTCACTCATTGTTTAGCTTTTAATGGCTCAGAGTGAGTGTAAATAGCAACTGTTTCTTTTCTGACCAGAAACTTTGATGGTCTTTAACGCCTTGATTCATTCTTTTGTGCAGGCAAAGTAGGCCATCTTTTTACTTCAATTCTTACCTGGCCTTTAACTATTGAATGGATGTTACTTCAGACAAACTGAAACCTGGGAAAGACCTTAGCTTACAAAGGCCAAGGTTTCCCACAGCATCCAGGGCCACTGCCAGTAGTCCTAACCTGTATCTTGCCATTGGACTCCTATGATTCTGGAAGAGAGAGGAGGGCTTATGACTGCACAGCTCTGTCTCACTTAAATCCAATTCACTTGCAAGTCAAGACATCACCCTCCTGATGTCATTGGTCTTCTTCGAGAGCAAAGGATGAACAATAACAGCAAGGGATGATGATAATCCAACTAAATTCATTCTTCAATGATTAACAAACTCCCACCTTGACTTTCTTAGCCTCTCCTTCCCAGCGATATTGAACCTTCTATCATTGTTGATGCTTCATATACAAAGTCTTTCTGAAGGCTCCATCCATAACTGTTAGTGCTCTCCTTTCCAAATTACTTAAAAAAACCAACACCACTTTTTTCAAGGGATGGTGGGGAGCTATTGACATGTATACAGATATTGTTTCCCATCAG